GTGTGTGTGTGTGTGTGTGTGTGTGAGTGTGTGTGTGTCAGAGACAGAATGAGACACAGAGGGAACAGCAGAGAGGCAGCCTTCAGATCTCACTGCAGCTGGAGACACTGCGACACACACAAGTTTATCACCTCTAAAATATAAAGAGACTTTTGTACTTGCTGTAAAAGAATATGAGAGAGAGAGAGAGATAGCAATGGCGAACTGAACGAGAAAGAGAGAGAGAGAGAGAGAGAGGGGCCTGAGGAAGAAAAAAAAAAAAAGAGATTTTCAAAACAATACTGTATCTCTGAAGGAGTAAAGCAGGCACACAGGAAAGTGTCTGCAGAAACACATCCCAGCACATTCTCATCTCTGCATTGGCACAAAGACATTCGACACTGACATAAGATACCAGAAGCCTCCACCATTCCAATTAAAGACTGGGAATGATAACAGAGCATTGGTGGAAAAGTAATATAATGCTGTGGAGATTTCCCTCCATCAACACCTAAAAATAGCAGCACTGGCCTCTTTAACTCTTTGTGATGGCTCGCAGATTTGTTTGAGGCGCTTCTCGTGCTACGTTAATGGATGCTAATCTCCTTCAATTGTTAGGCAGGGGTTCCTATGGCACAACCTATAGTGTGTAGCATGAGCTGCCTCATCCTCCTCTCACGTAGCTCGACCACATCATGCGTCTTATAACTAAGACGGACGGTTTTATTCATTATGGTTTTAATCAGTGAGATCTGTCTTTATTTTCTACAGCACTTTCATTTCCGCCTGAGGGGATTGTACAAAATAAAAACTTTTTCCTCCATCTAACACTACTTCGGCTCAAAGTAGTGTTAGCCGGAGGAACAAGCTTTACACACAACAAACTGCCTCTAATTCAAAAAGTCAGGAGCAACAAAAACCAAACTTCATAACCAATATTCATCATTAGAAATCATGAAACTTTTAACCAAAAGATTAAAAAAAGCGAGTTGACAAACAGTTGCAAACTTTTCAAACTTCGCTGCATTTACCCGATTGATCTTTTCTCTGCAGGAGGGACACTTTTCGCATGACGGCTAATTTGGTCTTTTCAAGCCCATCCTTTGTCCCACTTTTCGCCGCCTTCATGAGCTGCTGAACCTGGTTGGAAGGAGCAGACAGAGACAACGAAGGAACGTTAGAGCACAAGAACTGTGCCATGCTGCGGAGACTTGATGACCTACGGTGCTCCTCTGGAGAGCGGTGGAGAGAAGTGGCGCTCGCTGGGCTCATCATGAATCTCGCCATCTGCGGCTCCCTGTGGGTCGCTGTACAGCCTCTAATCAGAGAGTCCATGAGCAAGTCACGGAGAGATTATGGTCACAGGGTGAGCTCAACATTAGAGTGTGGGAGAATTTATCTGACCGCAAACTCGCCCCTGAGCATCACAGAGGACCTGCAACCAGACTCCACGAACCCAGAATACACTCTGGTTGATAGTATTTTTAAATGATGCTACTTCAGGAAAGTAGGTCATTAATTGGGGGTAAGTTGCACTGGTGTTTATGGAAGTAAATACGCAGAATATTATTAAATTATTCATGTGTCCCATAAATGCATCTTGATATTAAACCAGGCAGGGAAAGAGGGAGAGAGGGAGCAAGACAGTCGTGAAAAGAAAGTCACAGTCCGAAGGAAAGTTGGGGAGGAGGGTGCAGCAAGTCAGTAAAGCCTCTGAATCAGCTAAGCTTACAAACGCAGCATATTTCAGCTCTGGGTGATCGTCAGTCCTACGAGCAAACATCTCACAGACTGCTTTGGGCTCTGCAAAGAAAAAAGTGTGTTATCGCTGTGTTCACTCGCAGATATACCTTGATGTCATAGTTGTGTTTGCCAGACAGCCGCATGGCCAGTTCACGTTTGGTCCTGGCACACCGCTCCCGCAGCCGTAGCACCTCAGGAGAGAGCTAAAGGTGTTGGTGGACAGGCAGGGGGGGGGTGGAGGGGCATGTGGAGGGGGGCAGGTCGCATTTAAGGCACGGCCGAGGGCGAAGACAGAGAGAAAACAATAAACAAAGGGGAGGAGAGGAAAAGGGAAAACGGAAAGGCAAAGTGATCAAGGCAAAAACAAGCGACACAACATCGGGAATTAATCACAAGCACAGAAAGTGAAAGCTGGCAGCGCTGCTTCGGTCAAAGGAAATCTGCTTTATGAGACTAATGGCCACTGATTTATAGAAGGGGATGTCGGGGGGGGGGGGGTGCAGGCTAATATCAAAGAAGCAGAGCTCTGTCGCAGCTCTTCCAGGCAGTGAACGGAACGAGAGGACAACTTCAGGTACACTTAGGGGGAAATTAATCGGGCAGGACTAATTAAAAACAATGTGTTTTGATAAAAAATGTAAAAGAGCTGAGATTTCTTCATTAATTGTTCAACCAGTGTAGCTGAAGAGCTTCGTTTTGTTCAGTGGCCTGAGAAAAGAGGTTTTCACACCAAATCCTCCTGTAATTACCACAACTCATTTTTTTTTTTCTTTTTTTCCACCAAAGCATTTCCCTTTGGTCTCCCTAAAAGTATTAACTCACTTCAAAGTGTTTTCATTAACCTGAAAACTGCGATGTGGAAAAATGTGTTGGAGGCCAGAATAAGTCTAAACACCGATAATGATTCAACACCAAACACTTCTTTACTGGTTTGACTCCTACATTTCCCCCCCCCCCCCAATGCCTGCATCGATGCATGCGTGTTAAAGGCCGGTGGAGCGTAAGGGGAGAATGCAGTATAATGTGTGAATGTGTGCACAGTGCCATCATGTGGAAGAGCAACACTCTGTTGATGGGCTGCAGGAACACTGATGAAAAGCATCCTTGGCAGAGAGAGGACAGGAGATCTGCGGCCGCTCACACAGAAATGCCTCTTGTTTACCTTCATTTCACACTGGAAGCATAAAGCCCCGACAGCCTGATTCTTCATGTTCTTTATAGTTTCCTTCCACTTCTATACATTAATAAAGACGGCTGCAGCAGAGGACTGGGAGATGAAATATACTCCTTGATTATATTTGTAAGTGATGGAGACCAACGACAACAGCCTGGCCGTTTAAAGTAAAGAATCATTCCTGACAGACGAGTATGTATGTATCACACACACACACACACACACACACACACACAGACACAATACCTTGCTCCTTGCAGGTAGTTTGGCCTCATTATCCGACTGCTCGTCATAGCTCTCAAACTCGCTGGAGCTCCAGCCGTTGCCCGTGTTCAAAGGACCCGTGTCTCTCTGAACGTCTTCATAAATTATATCTGCGAGAGGAACGTTACAAGTCAGCGACGCCGTGCTTCAAGATTCATGGACCATCAAACGTCATAAACAAATAATTCTGTCACCGCACGCTCACCTTCGACAGGGGAGAGGGGGTCCTCGCAGGGGACGTCGTCGTAGATCACCTCAGGAGAGTCTGACGACGGTGGTTCCACTTCGACCGCACGAGACGCTGGTGAGGAAAACCAGCAAAGTTAGCCAAGTCATCGAAAACTGTTTTTAAATGGAAGAATGGCGATGCATGTGTTGGAATATTTACATTCTTGAGTCATTTTCACGTGTCGTGTTTCCATAATGGCTTCGTCCATGTAACGCAACGTGACTGCATCCAGCTTGTTTGAGCTATTGACCCGTTCTATCTCTACGCTCGACAGCCTTTGTCATTAGCTGCTTTGAGAGTGTTTCGGGCTAATTTAGCTCAGTGAGCTTTATTGATTTGGTTTTAAACTGCGATTTATCTGCATCACTTTCCTCTAATCCCCCGAACAGCAACAATCACTGTTTTCAATTAATCTGATTGGAGATGTGTATTCTGTCACGGATTATTCAGCAGAGTTAAGTCCGACATTTGAAATTACCTTGGGCACAATCCAGGAGACGAACAAAAAGGCAACTGTTCTTTCTTCAAAACAGGATTAGCTACTCATCTCGCTGCCTTTCCTTCACTTGTGCATTCAGAGAGGATTCAGCACAGAGAAGAAAACAACTGGATTTGGGATATCAGTCTGACTATCAGCATATCTGCAAAGTGATTGGGCCTCATGGGTACACGGCTTGTTATTCCAAATGTGGTAAACCACAAGTTCGTCGCTCTATCTTCTTACTTTTATTTAACTTTTCTCTACAGCAGCACAATGACACTCTGGTAAACTCGTTCACAGGAAGTGCAAACAGGAAATGCTTCATTATTCATAACAGTTCTTCACAAACTGATCTAATCCTGCCTGGTTGGAATGAGCTGTGCGTTCGGCCTGTGGAAATCTTTTCTTTCTGAAATGTGAAAGTGACCTGCAGTAATTGAGCCGTGGGCAAATTAAGCCCTGCTACAAGACTCAGCCCTCAGAACCCAAGTTCACCTGACTGTTCAAAGTCCAGTGAAGCTCGACTCAGTGCGCAGAACCACTAACTGGAGAATCAGCTGTCCCTTAACAGGAGACATGCCAAGTACGAAGCTGATGAGATTAATGGATTTCCAGTTATGTGAGCAACATACAGACAGATAAAGATTTCTGGAATTAGCTGATGACCTGTATTAAGCACATTCGGTCAAAATGAAACAAAACAAAGAAACGCGCCCTCCACAGCTGGTTAATAGAAAAGTAGAAATATTGTCTGAAAACAGTTTCAAATGTAAAAACACAAATGCAGCATTGTTGCGGTTTCCCCATTGAGATCAGTGCAAACGTTGTCATTCATCTTAAGTTGACTTGCTTTGTGGTCATGTGTGAAAACACATCAGAGGGGTGGGACATAAAAAAAAAATATCATGCAGCATTGCAGGGCTCCTTTACATTTCTCATTTCTGAGCCACCTTCAAATAACAGCAGCAACTGCTGACGGAGTCAAAATCCAAAAGCAATTTTCCCTCATGGAAATGGTTCTCTATTGATCCTCATCCTGAATTAATTGGATTCATGTCATGTCTGTGTAGGAATCAAATCATGGCAGAGAATGTGTGCATGTGAGCCAGTGTGCATTGTGTCGGTGTGTGTGTGCACATGTGTGTGTGTGTCTGTGCGGATTCACGTGTCTAAACATATGTGTGTGTGTGTGTGTGTCTGACCACCGGAGGAATCAATGAGCCCTCAGGTGGCTGTAAGTCTGTAATATGGTGTTCTTGTCACCTTTGATCAAGGTCAAGAGACGCAATGTGCAGCACTAACAAAATACCGGTGCACAATTTATACTGCCAGTGTCATTATGGTTTAGTCCACAGTGCTGTTTACGCAACTCTGGAGGCCCTGTTGGTTTTCTATTGGATCTGTCCGTGATGGGAACACTATAATACATTGGTGGAATGAGCCTGAATCCCAAGGCAAGCTTAGGTCTAATCTTTCTGCTCTGAAATTGAACCCTTGATCTTCAATATAAAGGTGCATCACTTCCCTGTCAATATAATTCAGTTCTGTACCTTCAGAGGTGTCCCTCGAGCCACAGCTTTCCTTGACGCTTTCTTTGCTGTGCTCTGCTGAATCAGCCGGCTTCTCCGCAGCTGATGGCGCCACAGGAAGCCCCCGGAGCTGCGTTCCCACACAGGGAGCTGAGGTGCTGGGCTCATCTGCCGCCGAGGCCCTGGAAGGTACCCAAACATTAGCACAGTTAAACCGACACCGAGCGCCGTGCGCCTCATTACATAGTTGGTTTCAGCGAGAGGAAAGGGAGGCACGGTGGCTGGAGGTGGGGGTCGGAATACTTTGTTGTTATCCAAGCATGCAAACGCACACTCCCTCACTACTGACAGAGCACATACTGCTGCTGTCAAATTGTCAGCATCTTTCTGGGGTATGGAAAAGTTTGTTTTTTTTCAAGCTGAGAGATGTGCATTTTTAACTCCTAGCTACTACGTGACCAATTAATATGAAATCTGAAAGGAAAGGTTTGAGCCATGTTTTTGTGCCAAAGTAAAATGAATCAGACAGATCATCTCGTAAATTCCACGATACCCCTCTTCTATATTCAAACTACTGCCCCGTTCTCAACCTGCCTGTTTGGAAACGGGGCTGTGGTGATGCTAGTTCCTGTCTTTTATCTGAAACTGTAAAAGTGACCTGCAGTAATGGAGCCAGGGCAAATGAAGACTTGCTGCGGGACTCCACAGAGCCACGAAGCTGCAGCTGCACAAACAGCTGCTCACCTTGAGTTTAATGAAGCTCGACTCAGTAAAACCCCAAACTGGAGAATCAGCTGCCTTTGTCATTAACGCGCTGTCGTCGTGATCTAAAATGAACAGTACATGAGATACGCCCACATAGAGACACAGAGATTTCTGGAAAATAAATGTAAATTACTCTTCTTTTTTACCTTTTCACCGTTTTCATGCGACCCACTGCATTTAATGAAATTTACCTGGCACATTAAATCTATTATTCCATGTGTTTTTATGCAGTTGTGCAGTCAGACACATTCATTTTCAAAATTCTTTCCATCACTAAATGACAGATTTGTTGGGTTGTTGTGCGGTGGCGGGGGCACGGGCTCCCTGAGGACTTCTATCTTTTATGTGTGGCTGGTTTTTCTACATAGGCTTTACAGGTTTTTTTAGTCCTGAAACTTTCCACCCACACGGAACCTTGAGTGAAACTGATATTAGTGAATTGTTCAGAATTACAAAGTGGGATTTTTATTATTATTTATGACTACTTTCACTTCCTCTTTGATTACTTTTGTGATAATAGTGACAGCTTCAGCCGGGCGTGGGATTAGCAGAGCTGATTGACTTATTCAGAATAACTTTTACCAAGCCACGTGTAAAAAAAATAATAATATCACACCCACTGCTTGTTACTTGCGTTACTTAATTTGCCCTCGAGCTCAGTCAAATCATTATCTGTCAGGCCTGCGGCTCACTGTAATCACCACTGGCTTTGTGTGAGAAAACATGCCCTGAACCAGCTATTAAAAACAGACAGGGGAAATATTGTGACAAGCTATCGCATGGCCTGTGTTGACGCTGCCAGTGAGGGACTGTCCTCCCCCACATGACTAATAATATGACAGGATCCATCGTGTAGGAGAGTCCCAGTTACACTAATTTAATCCGTCCCTCTGCTAAACACCTCAGCAACTCTCCACAATGCAGCAGCAGCAGCAGCAGAGTGACAGGAAGGCGGCAGATAAACATGACGTGCAGGGAAAATAATGCGTATTAAATGCTGTAGTTTCGAGAAGCAGCTTCACAAAGTTTTCATTTAAGTGGAAATAAAAGTATATGTATAAAACCATCTCGCAAACTATTATGTTTCCTTGTACCCACCTGGTATTTAGACATTTTGTTGTGATTTGTTTCTCAAATGAAAACAGCACTTTTCCCAATTTACACTCAATGGCTCATAATGAAAAAAATCAAAACAGAAAAATGTTTTCAAGTATCCCAGATGATATTGTGTTTTCAAAGATTGGACAATGTGTCTCATCTTCCTTCCACGATGCAAAAATGAAGCCAAACTATCCTGGATGCAAACACTGATCATGAGGCTGACGCCATTCAGAGCACAAGAATAAGCAGAAGCAATAAGATATCAAGGTTCCGCCACTACACACCTCAAGGCCAATCAAGGCCCTTTGGCTTCACTTGTCATCCATCTTTATGTACAGTTTATGGTTCAGACCCATTCCTCCTGGAACAAGATCTCTGGATCTCAGATAGTGTGATCATCAGGTTCTTGGTCATCTGTTACAAAGGATTCCTCCCTGACCCCGACATCCTTCCACTAAGTTTCCTGGAAATCCTTACAGTTGTTTTGGTCCAGTCATACAAACACACACAAACAAACTAATAAACGGACAGGGGGTGAAATCACGACCCCGTTGGAGGAAACAGTTAGCTCCTGACCAAAGACTCAAGTGTCATAGCAAAAGGTTTGAACACGTAGTGAGTGCAGCGGTTTCTGCATCATAGATGAAGGTAGAAAACCTGAAGGCGTCTGAAAACCTTCTAATTGCACACGATACAGCAGCAGGTGAGGTGTGTGTCAGACAGAAAGGAAAGCGTGCCCGCAGCAGAGGAGGATTAAAAAATAACAGCAGGCATCTTGTAGCATTTGTGTTACGACGGAGAGAATACTGATGGGTAAGATTCATAAATATATATCCACATCGACTGATATTACAGGTGCTGATAGCAGCCATTTGGTTCTGCAGCGGTATCAAGCTGCCGAGTATTACTCTGCTGCTTTCTCTATAATGCTGCATCATTCGTCTCAATGCAGGGGGAGCTCGAAAATGATCTGCACCCACATGAAAACAAAATAAAGAGCGATTTGTCAACACATTTCTTACAATAAACCCGTCTTTCATCATTAGAACGGCTCGCGTGGGAACGGTGTGGAGCCCAGACAATAGTCCCCCCCCGACTGTGTGCGTTCGTGTCAGGTGTGAGTGATATGAGCCGTGCAGCGGTCGATCCAGGCGTATCTTTGTGCATCCCTTCACAAC